AAAAATGAAGGCAAAACCCTTGTTTGGTTTTTACTTTTCACCCCCAAGGCTTGATGTGATGTTTGTGTTTTGAAAAGGTGAAACATAAAGGTTTCACTTCCATCCCAGCTGAGCGTGTACAGTACTTTGGCTTGTACAGACTGGCTTGTCCCACTGTTCTCATCTACCCTACATGTGTCGGTGGTGCGTTCAGAGGCAACAAGCCAAGTCAGGGAGACGTTTATCAGAGGCTGTGCCCCTGAGTCACCTTCTCCTGTGTGGCTCCATTGTTAGGAAGCCAACATTGTTTGCATTCCTTTTATTCAAAAAGTCAATATTGACTCTCTATCCCAGAATTCCAGAGGATCTGAGATATTATGTAGCTTGAGAACCGTCATGGTTCCTGGTCAGAACCTGATTTGACTTTGAGAATCTTGGTCTTGTTCACTTCATCCTCCTCTGTCTCAGAGTTCACTACTGCGCAGCAGGTCGGCAGTCCTGGCAGAGCCACTGCTCCTCTCAATGGCCGCCACTATTCACCTAATATTCAAAAGTAAACACTTAGGCATGCACACACACACACGTACTGAGGTAGCTTCCTCTGGTCTGTCAGAGTGTTAAACATGCGTGCAGTCAGGGGAAATTTGTGTTGTGAATCCTTCATCACCTTTTAAGGACAATATGTGTGTGTGTGTCAGTTGTTAAGTCATAGGTGTGGTCTCTTATAGTAGAGCCAGTGTGTTTACAGGCACATGGGGAGACCTGGACGACATGCTCCTCCAAATCTCAGTCTGTGTCTGTAGAGGAGGGTACATCAATCCTCTGTGTTAGAGACCATTTATTTTATAGACATTCTTCTAGGATCAGAGCTGCATCCTGCGTTGGTCATCCAGGACCTGAATCCCGGTCACATGAGGCCTGGTGTTGTGCAGGGATGTACTTGTGCAGATTCACTGCTGTCTCCAGTCTTGGTGGAAACTTTAGGTTGTTTAAAAAGATTTTTATTGCTTTAAGTATTGACATAATGGTGACAGTGAGAATGAGGAAACTGTAAATACTGCCCCCTGTGTTTAGGCAGAGGTCGAACCTGACATTCAGCAGACTTCTCTACAGATGATGTAAGCCACCTTCTCTCCCACTAGTCACAGCTAATAAAGCTCATGAGAGCTGTTCACACAGTGCCCAGCCACTCCCTATACACACACACACACACGCACATGCATACATACATACACAAACCCAGCGTAAACAAGCCCGGCATGTGGCTTCAAGGTGCCAATTATTGTTCAGAGAGCTGACAGGGGGTGGATGTATGCAATTAAAAAAAAAGAAAATAAAAAATAACATCTTGATCCAATAGGTGTGTTCAGCACTGCTGAGAAACTAAATAGATGCTGGATATTTACACACTGTTCACCCTGAAACCAACTGTTTTAAATGAGCGAATCAGATTTCTCTGAAATTCCATTCAGACTGACGGGCTATAAATATAAATATAAATATAGATACAAGGATTGTTGCATTAAAATAAGACCTGCTCTTTAAAATCCACCCGGTTGCTTTTAGTTGACGGCAGTGGTGCAGACATGTGATTTAGCCTCTTATCTTTTGTCAGAGTGGGTGTTGCAGCCAGTGTGCTCATGGTATAAACATCCACGCAACGTTCGCCTGCCCCGAGCTCTGTCCACACTTCTGTGAACCACTGTAACAAATCTCTCAGACAACCATTCAAATTTGATTCCAAGATCGGTCTGGAGATACAGCGACATCATGAGACTGAATGACATTCTATCTACGAGACCACTGCTATGAAGGTCATTCCTACTATTTAAATACTAGGTAATATATATTAGAGCGGGGGGAGAGGGGGGGTCTCAAACTCAAATGAGCCGGGGGTCACTGCTGCAACTGCATAAAAAATACATTAAGGAAAAAATGAAATTAATAAATAATATTTGAAATCTAGTCTATGAAAAACGTATTCCTATTATCAGGTGGCAAATATGTATTTTTGTGTATTCCTAGTTGTAACTTGTAGTGAGAGCAGTTTCATGTCTTAGTAAAATTGTTTTTTGTTTTTTTTTTTAAAGCAGATCATTTGGTTGTGACCTTATGTTTTGCGCCTGCCTATAAAATCATTTCCCGCTCAGCAGTTCTCAGGATCTGATGTTATAAAACTATTTCTGTTAATGGCTGACACGCTCTATCATCTGAGACTGAATAATTGGCAAACACACTGTGTTGACTCGTTAATTTCTAAGGAGAAATCATTAGCTGCAGCTTTTCGAAAACTTATAAGCTGTGACCGTTTCTGGGGTTTTGCTTAGAAAAAATGTTTTTTTTCCTCTCTCTCTATGATAAATGAAAAAGAATGTTCTCCACAAATGTGGAAACCATTATCTCCAGCATCAATCTCTGTCATTTTTTCCAGTGACTTTTATCAATGGCTTCACTGTATAATGGGCAGAAAAGACACGTTTGTAAATTAGGATCAGCATCACAAGACAATAACAACAGACAACGAGTCTGTGACAGAGATGATGAGTTAGTCTCTGCTGCAGAGGCTGTGAAAAACTTGTTAGGTTTTAAAGTTTAACAGCTACAGTAGACACATTACAATACAGTGTAAGGCTTCTTTATACCCTGGCTGTATGACATCTATTTGATATTATTCTGCATTATCAACACTGTTACATTTTCCATGTGAATGTGAGGTTTGGGAGAAAAGATGAGGGAAAACCCCAATCATTCCTTGTGGTCTGTGAGGAATGACCAGGATTTGCCAGGATGGGGAGGTGGAGGAATCACAGACGGAACGACTGAGGGAAGGTTAGATGGAGGTGGGTGTGAGGGAGAGAAGGGCTGAAATTGGGTGAAACGAGGAGGGGAAATTGGGGGAGGAATAAACAAAAGAAAAGAGTTTGAAAATAGATTAGAGGCAAGTCAAGGAAGGAAAGGAGAGGAGAGGGACGGGGGGCCTCAACCAAGGGCCAAACCACAGCACCACTGAGTATGCCTGGAAGTGATCACGCTATAGCCGAACTGAACACACACCAGCACATACTGTATGTCTGCCAAAGAATGAACACTCCTAACAGAAGACACATCTCTAACAGATGTTGGCCACGTTCATACATACTGCAGCCTCCACCCGTGGAAACGCAAAACACACACATGAAATATGGCCTTAGACACACAATACACTGCTGAGAGGTTGGGGTTTTAATTCACATCCACCTAATCAGAGTCCAGAGAGTTCTGGAGTTCACATCGATATATGGACCATTCGCTGCTTTTGGTGTTGAGGGATTCAGACCCCTGACCGACAGTAGGTTAAAGGGTTACAGCCTTCTCAGCCATTTTCTCAACCCACACCAATTTGTTTTACAAACATTTGCCACCATGGTTTTTTTATTATTTATTTTATTATTTTAACACATGTTCCTCACTGGCTTGTATTCTGTAAAAGTCTTGTTGTTTGCGGCTCCGGCGCTCACAGGAACTGGAAAAGAAGAGAATTGACCTTTTGCAAAACCCCGCCTCCAGACGGTGATCGTCCAATCATACATCCTAGCAACAATTACCATGTTAACAAGGTCCTTGAAGCTGGACCTCTGACAAACAAAATGCTGAAGCGATGTGTCTACCTGGTGAACTGATTTAAGTCAGAAGTAGCATCAGCTTGGTGGTACTTTGTTCATCAACCATAAATGTACAGAGTAGAGTTCATCCATGTTTCCGTGAACACCAGCTTAGGATGCTCATGTGGCAGCCTCAGTGCTCCGCAGTACTAACAGTTGACACTGGTGTAATCCAGTTTAAACATGGACTCTACAGACTGGTCCCCTGCACAGTAAATCCCAGCTGTGAACTTTTCTTGTGCTTCATCTCAGTCAGGGACATTTTGGACTGAACATAGACTCTTCCTGATGAAAGAAACTGTTACCTCAGATATTGTCTGTTTTAATGTTATGACTGCGGCTCAGGATTGTGTGGGCAGTTTTTTTATATACTGTGTATAACAAAAAAGGTAACATTCATCTCTTGGCAGTGGCAATAAGCTTTAGTATTTTGATGCATTTGCTCTGATAACATTAAGATTTACACTGACTGCTGTATAACTACTCCTGTAGCAGTTTGAAGACATTAACGAACAGTGACGTGATGTCATCAGTAAACCTCAGCAGCACTGTGTCCATGCTAAAACTAACCAATCAGTCCGTGGTTGCACTTTCAACTGACTTTACAGGCTCCGCCCTCACAGTGGCGCCGCTCCAGCCAGATCTCCTGTCTGATTAGTGGTGTGTGTGTGTGTGTGTGTGGTTTGGTGTGTCATTTTTTGTTTTTGTTGAATTTTAGTTACATAAGTCACATTTAACCTCAAATCATTTTGATTGTTGTTTTTTTTTGCGTAGTGATGTAATTGCTGGCATTGTCTCGTTATGACATCAGCTGCAGTAAATAATAATGAAAAGTAAAAGAATATGATCAATAGTTGTGTTTAATTTACGCTCCAGAGATTGTGATCCATTGATTGATTATGGGTCATTATTGACAGTGGTCAGGTATGAAAACAAACATTACAGCTGACTGTGACATGGGGAGCAGATTGTTGAGGACCCATGGTCACCTAAACACACACACACACACACACACACACACATATACACTCAGAGTGAACTGCACCCTTCTGAGGAGGTTTTCTTGCAGAGCCAGTGCAGCCAGTTCACACAGGTCTCCACCCACACAAGACAATAAGTGATCTGTGCTCTCTGTGTCATGATGATGAGAAAGTGTTGGTGTGTGTGTGTGTGTGTGTGTGATAATTGGGCAGGTTGTGCCATCCTGCCTCTGTCGCCACGCAGGGCCACAGGAGCATGTCTGGACAGCTGTCTCCTGTGCTTTTCAGACCTGGATGAATGAACGTGTGTGTGTGTGTGTGTGTGTGTGTGTGTGTGTGTGGGGACCATCTAGGTGATGAGTGAAGATCCTAATCCATGTCTCTCTGTGTTTTCTTACAGTCTGCTGCAGTCTCTGATGGAGGTGAGTACATGTGAACTTCTAACATCGGACACTTTGAACAGCATAACTTCTGGTTTCACTTCTTAAACATCTGCCTTTTACTCTGTACTCTGTAGTAACTGTGTTACTTCATGGTGTTGTCTGAAGTTTTGTGTCTGTTGCAGTACAAACTGATGGAGTGGTGGATGTGTTTGGACAGAGCTTTCATTTATGTCATTCAGACTGAGGGAGTGGTGAGATAGAGAAGTTAACACTTGATGCGTTGATATCATTACCTTCCATAAGACACAGACACGAGTGTAACGTTGACACACACATAAGACACAGACACGAGTGTAACGTTATCTCGTTATCTCTCAGCCACAGTCACCCACAGCAACTGTACCAGTGTTTTTACCACGACACTAACTTTACAGTAATACTTGTGATTTTTCGTTAAGGAGCTCAGGACTCCTCTGACTCCTGCCAACCTCTGTTCTGTGTCACTATCTTTAATATCTCTGTGAAGCCACAGCTCCACTCATGTTCTGGTCAAACCACAGCAGAACATGGTAATAAATCTACAAGTACAAGTACATGACAAGTACAAGTACATGACAGCCAGCTGAGCAAAAGGAATGCTAAGTAAAAAACAAAACTTGAGTGTTCCTGTGTGGACATGGCCTGTGGCTACTGCCTCATTAACCCAGCATCCGTGTGATTACATAGTAGACAGCAGTGTGTATGTGTGTGTACTTCAGGAGCAGGACTGATCTGATAGTTGATAAAGAGCAGAGTTAAAGTTTATCTTGAAAAAAAAAAACATATCTAATATCGGTTAGACTTTATTATCGCTTTAAAATGTTTAAACTTTCTACATTTTTGTATTAGTGAGCTTCTTCTTTTGGCTCCACCCGTCACTGGTGTCACACCAACCATCTCCAGCTCCTCCATCACTGGTCTCCTCTTCTGGGGTTTCTTACTCCTCAGTGTTTTAAAGTCAAGTCTGTTTTATTTTTTTAGCACAAATTTACAAAGCAGTTTTTTCCATTATTTTAATCCTCCTAACAACCCTGAAATTAATATTTATTATCTGATATTTTGATCTGTTATTTGATTTTGTATATTTTGACTGGTGAAATGAATAAATTCAATCCCACCCATGACAGGACAACAGCTCAGTGAACCAGGAAAGCTCACTGTAATCTAACTTGTTGACTGATGCACTATCAGTGGAGCATTCAGTTTAATTTCAGCAGTCATGTGACTTGGGTGTAACTGATATTTGAAAATAAGATAGTAGCGAAAAGAAAGGAATCAGGAAGTAAATGTGTAGAAGTTCATCAAAGTCTTTAAAAAAATAATACAATTAGATGAAGTACATGTACATGTACTTCTTTTTAGAATACCACCAAATATAGGAATCCTTTTTTAGGACAAATGTCATCGAGCTACTAAGAGATTAGATTAATTTGGATTAAAGCCGTACTAACAGCTGTTGAACATCAACATCATGTGACTTCAGATGTTACGTGTTTAAAGTCAGAAAAACGTCTGCGGATGAATATTCTGCTGCAACTACTCGTCGATAAAATGTGTTGGTGTTTGTTCGATTGTCACTGGACAAACACTGCAGGCTCATTAGTCTCAACAGTGGCCTTCAACAAGGGCTTCATCAATACTGCACTGTTCTGTGTGTGTGTGTGTGTGTGCGCGCGCGCTCTCGCATTCAAATGTGTGCGCTGCGGCGTTTTCAGTTCCCACCTCCCTCAACCCTGAATTATTCATCATCTCAAAGCCTGTGTGTGCTTGTATCACTTACCTACTTGGACATGTGTGCATGTGTGTGTATGTGTGTGTGTGTGTTCACATGCATGTTGTGACCTGACTCTGTGTGGTCCCTCATCTTGTTGCTTCCTCACCAGCAGCTTCTTCCACTACTTCTTTCCTCCTCCTCTGCTCTCGACTCCTTGGTCCCCGGACTCTGTCTGTCTGTCTGTGTGTGTCTAAAGTCATGGTTTCATTTGTGAACTCAGCCTTGTGTGTGTGGAGATTGTGAGAGGCTCTAGTAGGGTTAGTATGGATGGAGGGGCATCCATACTGCCCCTCAGGATTCGTTATCTGCCCCGCTGGCACCACACAGGCTCGTACCAGCTCTACCCAGGTGAGCTGAGCTTCTTTACTTCTTCTGGTGCAAATCCTGCAGGACTGAGGCAAAGGCCTGCAGCAGTAAACCTTCAAGTGATTTCCAGTAAAACATTGTAAGTTGTTGTTGAGCTTTTATAGAAAACCACGGCTGCAAACCAAGGAAGAAATATGGTTGGGTTTAAAGGGCGTCCTGTGTTTTTCTCTTTTCTATGGATAAAGAATCTTTTAGCTCTTTTTGTCAGCTTTATGGCAATGGTTGGGAAATGAATCAGCAGGTTTAATGTGCTCTACTGGGGCTAAATGATGGGTTTTCTTTTGCTGTCTTGGACAACTTTTGAATATTTCATAAATTCTTTACTGACATCTGTTATATATTAGCATTTTTACAGCTAACGTAAAGGCTACCATTAGGTTTCACCTGTATGACACAAACACTTAAAGATGTCATGACCATAAATGTTTTTAAAAACACCTCAGACGTTGAGAAGAGTTTTAGGTTGTTGTATGAAAATATGACAAAGTGGCAAAAAATATATTTTCTTGACACCAAGGATGAAAAAAAAAAAAATTTTCTCTAACATTTGATGAAAATGCAATCAATTATTTTTAAATGGCCAGAGAAGTGTTAGTGGCTAAAGGAAAATGTTTGGTTAAAGAGATAACCTTTTAACTAGTGACTAGTTTCACTCGTCATATTAACCCTACATTTAGAGTGGAACCAAAACCAACTTCAATAATTCATAGAAAATTAAGTCAAAGAGGTAAAATCTAATAATATAGATATACATATACATATATCATACAAGTGAATATAGGTCTTCACTCTTCAATTATTGTTTTCTTTTTTTTTTCTTTAATCTGATATATATGTGATAATGTATCTATTATAACCAGCAGAGGAGAGGGAAGAAATAAACTGAGGAACTCACTTTCAGGTTAATGCTCCTTATTTAGATAACATATGGCTGTACTGCACAATTACAATTACATGTCGTAAAATTTGAATATAAGCTGTGCCTTCATTTCAGTTAAATATATTAAACTGTGAGTTTTTGTGTGTCTTCGTGGGGAAATTAAAAAATGTTAATTTTCTGTAATCGTCTTCAGACCTGGAGGAGTTGAAACATCAGCAGTGACAATTTATATTTTACTGAGACTTTATTCACTTTTGTAACCTGCAGTATTGGTGGTACCACAGAAAGGAGGAGAAGTGTGTGTGTTGTTGTGTCTGTAACCTGGTCCTACTGTGACAATGCGACTTTCTATTGTATGTTTGTGTGTGTGTGACAGGTGCTCTGTCCTAGTAGCAGGGATGTGGTCCACATATTCAGACCCTCACTGTCCCCGGTGGTTTAATGTCCTTATTTAGTTTGACAGTCTGTTTCTGCAACAGAACAAACAAAACACTTCAGTTAACAAGTGTGAAAACCCCCATCAACACACTGTGTCTTTGTGTGCTCTCAGTAACACTGCTTGAATGTGAAGGCTTGTGCTCAGTCTGGAGGTTTATTAAAAACATTTGTCCTTCCTGCAGGACACTCACCACAACAACATGATGATGAGCATTTAGGGGTATAGGAAAATATTGATACACTGAAATATTGCAATATTTCATTCCACAATCGATATTTTACAGCACTGTATCAATTTTTATTTTAACAATTAACAGTCAAATATTCATGGAGTTGGTTCATTTTATCTTGCTTTTATTTCTTCTCTAGTTGTTACAAATGTTCCCATTGTACTAACCTGATGTTGAGCACTGTGTGTTTACTGTGCTGACAGGTTTCCTACAATAACATATTGCTGTACCTAGTATCGCAGTATATCGCAATGTATTGTATCGTTGCCCCTATATCATGATGCGTATCGCGTGGCTAAATTCTTGCCAATACACAGATGTAACAAAGCTGCTGATTTGCTGTTGTGTTAAATGTCATACTATGAGGTATAATTCTGGAGCTGATCCAGTGATTGCACCATCAGGATTCCTTGCTCCTGTGCAGATGTCTGACGTGTTTCTGTGTGTGTTTGTGTGTGTGTCAGCAGAGCTGAACAGCGTGGAGCTGCAGGGCTGCAGCAGTGACAACAGTCTGAACAGTAATGCCAGTCTGCCCAGTGTCCAGAGCCACCGGCGCCACACTGAGAGGAGAGTGGCCAGCTGGGCTGTCTGCTTCGAGAGGCTGCTGCAGGATCCCCTGGGAATCCGCTACTTCTCGGTACGATGTCGACGCGTGACTGAAGTTAGGATAGCTGTTCGTATTATTTATTTTTTCATAGTAGAGAGTCAAACGTTAAACAAGACTCACACCAGTCAAACCAGAGGTGTACTTCACTTCAGGCAGTCTGTCGATTAGCAATTTAAAAAGAAACTGGCTTGTGATTGGAGGATTGCCAGGTTGAATCCCCCAGGCTGTGATGTGTTGAGGAACAATGCCCCCCCCCCTTCACTCACCCACTGCTCCCTGTGACATTAAATACAGAGGACATGTTTCTGTTGTTCATATAAAAGAATAATGATGGTGATAAATAATCTGCCTTTTTTTCTTTAAGAAAAAAGTTTAATTCTTCTGTGGGTGTCAAAGCTCTGCTCACTTTCTGTTCAGCTGACTGTGTTATCTATGAAGTTTGCCTTTCTATTCATTTCTTCCTTAGTTTTACTGATATATTGTTTAATTTGACAACTGTGTCATGTTGAAGGTGTTTTTATTTAACATCATTTTGATTTTCCTCACAACAGGAGTTCTTGAAGAAGGAGTTCAGTGAAGAGAACATCCTGTTCTGGCAGGCCTGTGAGTTCTTCAGTCATGTCCCTGAGAATGACAAGAAGCAGGTAACAGACCTAGAATAAACCGTTTTACTACATGTTTGAACTAATACTACCTGCTTAATACTGCCCTGTAGTGCCCTGTTGTCTGTCTGGAGACCTCTTGTCACATTAATATTCACTGTTTTCACCTGTGTTTTTTTGAACAGTTTTAACAAACATCCTCATCTCTTCTCCAGCTCTCTCAGCGTGCCAGGGAAATCTACAACAGTTTCCTCTCCAGTAAAGCCACCACGCCAGTCAACATAGACAGTCAGGCTCAGCTGGCTGATGACATCCTCAATGCTCCCCGACCAGACATGTTCAAGGAGCAGCAGCTGCAGGTAGATACATCAGAATAGACCAGAAAGAAGGGACTGCCCCCTACTGACACTGAGGATTTTCTTTGACTTCACCAGACTCGACTTTTTCAGACTTGGTATAAAGACTAGACACTGCAGGCTGTGGTTGTGAGGTTAATCTACAGAAGACAACATCACTTTTTTTTTTTTCAACAACAATAACATTTGGATTTACAGTGTTTTTGATAAAGTTCAGTGGAGATTCAAAGTATTAGCTGTGAATGCTTGGGTGGTCTTGATAATAGTCCAATCCATATCAGGGTGCGCTGCAGAAAAAGCTTGTGAATCATTGGCTTAAATAGCAAGACGTTTGAGTAATAGGTCTGAGAAGCTCTGCCACTGATTTTCATGCATATCAGGTTTTATCCAAGACAAATGTCATTATTACTCATACGTTTGGATCCACACAGACCCCTGGTGAATATGTCAGAGTACTACAACTTCAGGTCTCACTGCAGCACAAGCTCTACTTATATTTATAGCAGGCTTTCTGGAACCATGAATGTGAAAGGCTTCTTAGATGTTCATGTTGTGGTAGGACCTGGAGGTGTGGCGGGGGGGGGGGGGGGTGATTTGAGGTGGTGGGGTTGGACTGAAAAGCTCTATTGATTTGAACAACTGAGCTCAGAAGTGCAGTCTCTGATAAGAGTCACGAGGCTCACAGCTTCACCATCAGCCTCTGTGTTTTTACACATCAAACATCCACAGGCGCACACACACACACACATCCTCTCAAAGACATGCGACAAACACGTAGGGAGAAACAAATAGCACAGGTTTACACTTGTCAACCAGCTGTGCATGAGTCAGGATTATTACTGTCTGTGCTTCATTCAGTACACACACACACACACACACATAGTAGACACTCTGGTAGCCTGCAAATAGGCTTGCCTCATTTTAATAAATCTTCAAATTTCCAGGAACTCACAGCTCAAGCATATTCGCTTCTCAAATGTACACAAGCTGGTTTCTTCAACCAGTTGTTTAAAAATGGTTCCTGTTACTAGGACCAGGTCTACTTTTCAGTGTTTCTGTCTATTTGTCTTTTTTTCTGCAATGATGTCTTTACGTGTATCGTTTCTTCCTGTTCCTCAGATCTTTAACCTGATGAAGTTTGACAGCTACACCCGCTTCCTCAAGTCACTGCTCTACCAGGAGTGTATGTTGGCAGAAGTTGAGGGCAGACCCCTGCCTGACCCTTACCAAATCCCCAGCAGCCCCACCTCCAAACACAGCACCACAGGCTCGGACCGCTCCAACCTCTCTACACCCAAGAAGGTAAACATGATGTAATCGATGATGTCATCATTGATGTCATTTAGCTGCCCGAGTGTCCATTGTTCTGATTTGCTCTGTTTTTAGCAAGAGGATAAAAAGAGCAAATCAGGTCGATCTTTGAATGATGACAGCAGGGAAGAGTCAGGAGACAGGAGGAAAGGCCCGTTCTTTTCCTGGTCCCGAAACAGGAGCTTCGGCAAAGGTCCAAAGAAACGAGAGCTGACTGACTTTAACTACAGTGAGTAGTTTTTTTATTCCATGATTGAGTTGATTCTCTCACACACACACACTGTAGTCGAGGTTTAATCTCCTTCGATTGGAATTTAATAAACTTACTGGAAAAGATTTTAGAATTTACTTTATTTAAAAAAATATTAAAATTTAAAAAAAAATATTTTAAATATTAAAATATTTTTTTAACAGTTCCATTGAGATTTGTTGACACAGATGTAATTCAGTTTTTTTTTCATGTTCTGGATAACTGTTTTTTTTTTCAGATTTCTCTGGCAGTAACGGTCGACGTGAATCACAGGGTTCCCTGTCGTCAGGAGCCAGTCTGGAACTGGGAACGTCAGGGTCTGGGAGAAATGAGGTTAGTCTGGAGACAGTGACATCACCTCATGATCAGTTCAGACCTCACGGTAGCAGATTATTAAAGATCATTTTCCACCACACTCCAACTTATTTACCACTTACCAAAAGTAGAAATTTTGGAAGACCGTCTCTTCCTGTTTATCTGTTACATTTTTCTATTTTGTTTCTTCAACAAAAAAAAAAACTCTTCCTGTCTTTATCTCCACTTTCTTTGTTCAGGTGGAAGTTTCTCGTGGTGCAGTATCAGTATCAGCTGAGCGGGGAGTTGGCAGTGCCCCCTTGAGGCAGTGTAACATTAGCCTGCCGGACGGCTCATGTTGCTCTGTGCCTCTCCGGTCTGGAGTGTCCATCAGAGATTTGCTGCTGGGCCTCTGTGAGAAGCTCTGCATCAACTTGGCAGCTATTGACCTCTTCCTGGTTGGAGGGGAGAAGGTATCTTCACACCACGGTGAACTAGGGTCACTACAACATGTCAAGTTAACTCAATTTTACTTCTATAGCCCAGATTCACAAACCACATTTGGATAGATAGAAATGTAATTTAAAATATCCTCCTGAGGAAACCCCATTTAACAGGGAGAAAAATGGTGCATACAGTCAATGTCTATATTGAGTTTATATTAAAAATACAGACTGAAGCAAGATAAAGTAATGTCAGTGAAGTCACCGAGTCCACCTTCTCTCCATCAGTGATTACAGAGCCATCTGTCCCTCTTCTCTTTCTCACCTCTTTCCTCCTCATCGTTTGCAAATTACACAATTTATATCTGCATACATATGAGTTCTACAGTGTTTTGTTAATCGTTGTGTTAAAGAGAATGCTTTCCTTCTATTTTCTACTCTTTTTTTCATCGTGTATAGAGAAAATAAAAGTTAAACAGAATGAGACACAAGAAGAGTGATCTTAAACTGCAGCGATCTACACTGTGGACTTTCATGATGATTAAGGATGATGGTCTCTCTCTCCCACCCTCTCTCTTTTCCCCTCTCTCTCTCTCTCTTTCTCAGCCACTTGTTCTCGACCAGGACTGTATGACTTTGTGTTCTCGGGACCTGCGACTAGAAAAACGCACACTCTTCAGGTACACTAATGTCCAGTAGGCGGCAGCGCTGAATTCTATTGATAATTGTTTTTTTTCTAAATGTTTCATCGTTTTCAACATTAGAGACAACAGGCTGTCAACAGTTTCTTTTTCTTCTCCAGACTTGACTTGGTTCCTATAAATCGGTCTGTAGGTCTTAAAGCTAAACCCACCAAACCAGTGACTGAGGTTCTGAGACCAGTGGTGGCCAAATATGGGCTGCACCTCTCAGACCTGGTAGCACGCATCGTAAGTTACTGTTGCCTCAGGTTGTTAAAAGATAAGAAAACACTGATAACTTAATAACTAGTCAGGTTGTATCATAATGTTAACAGCTATTTTTGTCATTTTCAGAAACATTTTTAAAAAGTTTGACCTAATGTCTTCTGGGCTAACCTTTAGCTACCTTAAGTTATTTTTGTAACCTATTGTATATGTTCACGCAACATCTATGCTATCAGGAGTCATATCTCTTTGTTTTCATAATAATAATAATAATAATAATTTTCCAAAACTGAAACACTAATATTCTCAGGCAGTGCATTCAGGAAGAACAGTTTAACCTCCAGTTTACAGTACTGAAGCCTGTCTCTGAAAAATACTATGCTGCAGTAATCCAATTTTTTGTGTGTGTGTGTGTTTGGTGCAGAGTGGGGAGTCAGAACCTTTAGATCTCGGGCTTCCCATTTCCAATCTTGATGGGCTACGAGTGGTGTTAGACGTAGGAGAACACGCTCCTGGTAAAAGTAAGAAACAAAAACCCAGGTTTTGATGGAGCAGATTGATTTATGTTGATTTCAGACAGAAGACCGTCCGTCAGACAAAAGGATATCGTATACTACTGTGTCCGTTAATGATGTTTTTTCTACAGCATATGTAAATAAGTAGTAAGAGATGTGTGTTTTTTTAAATCTTCCTCTTCTCTTCCCTCCAGCAGACAAACAGAAGGCTGCTGTGTCCAAGATCTCCACCTCCACCAGTAGAACTCAGTCATCAACAGTAAGATCTCCTCCAAACCTTCTATTTTCTCATTTTCTTCCTGCTTTTGGAATGTTTTATAACCAACCCAACGTCTCCACCTCCTGGTCCACAATGTCACGCTACTAAGTGTCTGCGTCTCCAGTCACCATTGTCTGTTTCACAAATGTGCACAAATGTACAACCTGTGTCTCTGTCAGTGTACTGTTGAGGCTGTATGCAACTGTGTGTACTGCAATGTATGTGTGTGCACCGCTGCTGTGGGGCTGACCAACCTCGTCACTCTTCCATGGTTCCTAATGATCCGGCCTGTGGTCCGCCTGTGGCCCAATGCATCAGCCGGCCCTTGCTCTGTGGTTATGACCTCTTTCTTCTATAACAACTTCAACAGACAGAAAACACAAAGAAAAAAAACCAACCTGACAGAGCATCTGTCTGAGCTTACGACCTTTTTAGTTCCTGTTGGAGAAGTAGTTGGTGGTGGCATTTGTCATTGTTGCTTCCAGAATATTTCCTTCAGGCAAACTCATTTCCCACTTGACTGGTGTAGTTTAGTTAGTTAGTTTGTCCTTGTGCTGGTTTAGTATGTGTTCTCATACTAAGTGTTGGTGGTGGATAATTGCAGGCTCTGCTGTTAGAGAGAAAAAAAAAAAATTCAATGATCTAGTCATGTGCACAGGATGAAGTTACTTGTACTTGTTCTTTATATTTTGTATATATAAATATATATACAAAACCATTTCTTTGGAACTTTCAATGCACAAGGAGGGCTGACTCTGTATTGACCCGGGGCTGCATTTCATCCATTGTCGCTGGGGCCTGATGTCATGTAAAAGTTAATGTTTTGTTTGTTATGTGTACACCAAGCAGTGTACTCTGGAAAAACGGTCAGGACTAAAACAAATTCAGTCTCAAATACCATTAAAAAAAACATACAAAATGAGGAAAAGTCCAAATGTTTTCATCGAAACCAAAAACTCAGCATCTGAGGAACGTTCCTCATAACAGTGGGGGACGGTTCCTGAAGATGACCTGCTGAGTTCATCCCCATGGACTGGTAGTGAATTAGACTTATTATACACATTGTAGTGTCTGAAGAATTAAATGATTGTCAGCCGTGATCATCACTGAACTCCCTCTAAAGAAACCCACCTCCATCATTGTCATCACTGGTGTCAGTCCCATGTTTTACCCCACCGTGCCCTCACCTGCACCGTGACTCATCAGGGCTCTAATGCCCCACTCCTGCTCTCCTTGTGGCCCCCAGGGGGAGGACAGGTCATCAGGGAAAACAGGTTCAGCCCAGCCTCACCCTCGTGGGGAAAACGGCAAGGCCGGGCACGGCCCAGACCCGAGGGGCCTGGTCTTACCCACCCACTCTGTCTCTCTGCATAAGGCTCCGGAGAAAAGAAAGCAGAAAAAGATTAATCTAGACGAAGCTGAAGGTAAAGACCGAACCACCTCTGTCTCTCGCACACACACTCACCCACTCTTCCTGGTTTTACTAACACTTTTATTTGGCCCTCTGCAAAGGCAGAACCAAATGCTTTAAGATCAGGCTCCATGTATCTCTCTGTCCTGGCTCACACTGAATGTAGCTTTGACTTGTCTAACTGAATAATACACGCTCTCTACTGCATGTTTTCTCAGTAACAAGTACTGTTTTCAACATGGTATTTGGAGTGATTATTCATTTGCCTATGTGTGTGGTTGTGATTGTTTCTCTGTGTGTGTGTGTGTGTGCGCGCGCGCGCAGAGTTCTTCGACCTCATTTCCAAAGCTCAGAGCAACCGAGCAGAAGACCAGAGAGGCCTGCTAAACAAAAGTGACCTGCAGCTTCCTGACTTTCTCCGCCTGTCACCGGTGGCAACCACCCAGGCTGCTTCTCCTCCCTACAACTCTGAGCCCAGCTGCTCCACCCCTAATTCCCGTAACCCCAACAACGGCAGCTTCCCGAGCAGCGGTCGCCGGGGCAATAAGACAAACGGCAATGACAGGGGAGGAGGAGGAGGGGGAGGCGTTCATTTGCTCAGTGCCAGCCATCAGTCCCACAGCTTGGACTCAGCACTGGGCACTGACAACAGAAGGGGGAGGAAAGCCACCTCACTTCCTCCGTTTCCCAATGTCATCTCCCCCATCCACCCCCAGGCCAGCCGGGCAGACTCAGTCCAGATGCTGGAGGAGGACACCCTGTCAGACCTGACTCTGGTAGGAGAGGGGGACATCAACAGTCCCAGCCTCACGTACGTCACCCCCTCTGCTTTACCCTGTAAACCGGAACCCCGACCTCGACAACAGGCCCAGGACGGCCGGCCGAGCTCAGGTACCTCCCCTGTGTGAAACTGGTTGAACTTCCTACTTTTCCCTCTCTTGACTTCGACACAGGGTGGACACCCCCATCCCTAAAGTCAGCTTGAAGATCTCTGTGGACCACTCATGGTCTGAGGCTAAATGCATCCAGATCTTCTCTGTTCCCTCTTGGCTTCAAGCGTTTTTATAGATCCCTTCAGTTTGAAGACAGCCACAGAAATAGTTCAGTCAGGGTTGTGCTAATAACATTAGTTTTAATAAAAGATTTATACGGAATACAATAGAAAAGTCTACTGATGTAACAGTGAATATAGTGATATATTCTATACTCTGCTTGGAGACACTGTTGTAGTCCTCAGGTCCAGGACTTCAACCCAAACCCTTGGTTTTAGGACTCATGACCTGAATTATACTCAAGTACAAATGACTGACGACTTCTACACCACCGATGTTTACATTTGTCTCTTTGAATTTCAAAACAGCTCAAATCCTCATCAGGCTTAGACTTGAATTCATTAGCATCAAAAATGTTGATGTGAATTCTTAGGTTTTTCACATGGGATTTAAACCAGTGACCTTTAGGTAACCTCTAGACAGTTCCCTATGTATTGATGCCAAAGGTTCCACCAGGATTTTGAGCGCTTTCAACCTATTTAAGTGAAAGTGTAAACTTGCCTCTTAATTGAAGTTGGTTTTCTTTTGGAGCTCTTGTGAAACTGCTTTGACCAAATTGAAGCCAACTTCACCAGAGAGAGCATATGAGTTTAGCGCGTAAACCCTATGAGGACCATAATAATCTCACACTTTTATTGTGTGTCTGCCACAGTTCCGAAGCACTAAATTAGATAATAAATTGATAAATTTAAACCTGGGAATAGATCATTTAAAAACCAGATTTAATAAACATTAGCTCTTATTAAAGTTTGTGTAGTCAAATACTCATTTAGTTGATTTGGATTCTAACCCTGGACTCTGTTTGGACTTCAACATTGCACTCAGTCAGGGTCTACCGTCAGTCAGCAGCAGTCATGAAGTGGAGCAGACCAGACTCAACGACAGAGGAAAGATGGATGCATTAGTTTTGGACAGAACTGACCTCTGTGACCTCCCCCTGCGTGGTGTGTGTATCTGTGTGAACTCTGAAGCTCAGCTTGCTGTGGATTTCTTTCCTTGGAGACTTATGGACGAGCTCAGGATGAATGGGTGACGCTCGGTGCCAAACTCCCTCCCTCACCGCCCTCTCACCCAGTCACCCTTCAAGTGTACAGAATTTAACAATGCACTTTAGCCTTCAAACATTCAAACTATTCAATTGAATTAGATTTTATGTTAAAATTCAAGTAGTTTGTACTTTTAACCATCCAACCATTAACGTTGGTTTTCTGATGTTCTGAGGTTTAGAAACCGCTGACATTATTCTCTGTGCTGATGTTCAGGCTACAGTGCTGCACTTATTAGTGGATCATGTGATATTTTGAACTCATTCAATGTTTTTGAGCACAATGCACGCTGACGTGACAGGCCTGACCCCGTAAATACAGACACTCGTCACATTATTATGGACACAGTCGTTGGCTCAGCTGTTGTTGATCATCAGGAACACAGTACAATGTGTTTGCACAAATGTTCCTTCACATCAAGCATTTCATTCGCCAGACTAAAGACCAGAGTCTGTGCTAAAGCATGCACGAACTGTGGCTGAATTATTTGGAGTCGTGCTTCTCAAATGATCAAACCTGGAAATCTGCACATTATCCAAAGTTCTGTTCCAATGTTCAGCCAAACCTCCTACATTTGGGTCACGACCCATAATTTGAAAAACACTCACACATGAAGTCGTCTGCTCCAGCTGTTTGTAACCTGTTTTATCATAATTGTGTTCTGGTACCGGAGTCCAACTGTGGGACTTGACTCAAACTGTACCGCTGATGACTCAGATCCTAACGCCCTGGTGACCCGACTTCAGTGGAATGTTCTTGTGTGACTTGGACTCAGACTTTGGAGACTTAACTTTGACTCTTAACGTTTCTGAAATGACATTGTTTCAGAGTACAGTCTCTGTTTACTCACACATTTCTGAAAACACTCAGACTCGACTTGGGTGATTTGGACTTGGGTTCATTTCCCAGTGGCTCATCATGAACTTGACTCTCGCTTCAAAACCTGGCACTACATCTACATTTCAGGGGAAAATAGGCCGAGGTTTTGGTCCATATGTGGTCCATATCAGACTGCAAAACACAAATCCAACTTTGTCTTTGATTATATGATGGTAAAGAACAACTCTAACAACAACTAGTGGTGCTCAGCCGTGGTTCTACCCACAGAGGTTTGACACAACGACTTCAAAATAGAAAGTCACACACTGACATGTGTGTAGCATTGATAAATACTGTCATAAACAGTGTTCTGTGTGTGTATGTGACATCACATCATCTTGTGTACGTCAGGTCTGTAAACACTCTACACTAGAGTCTGACACTGGTCACGTTTTCCTTTAAATGTAAATAAGTGTGTGTCACATTCACAGTAAAGAAACTTTGTCCACAAAGAACGCAGAGCAAAGAAAGGAGAAAAAAAAAGTAAAGAAATGAAAAGAAATAAGAATACAAACTAAATCAAGGCAGAAAATAACTGGAAAATAATCATTTATTTATTATAGTCTGAACAACTCTGCAGAAAGATGGGCCTCCACCAAAAACAATACCTGTGGTTTGAACGGAGCCGGAGTTCTTCTTCTCTGACTGGGTCAGACTGGGGACCCTTGCCTCATGACTCAGTGAGTTTATAGTTCTGACTCTGGACTCAGACTCTACGCCAACCTTTCTTGGTGACTTGGACTTGAACAACAATGCAGACTGGACTACCTGAAGGTCAGACAGTAAGAAAGAGTTCTTAAGGAGGCCAAGTCACAGCTGACACTTGCAGACACTTTGTTGTTCTCCTATTTTTTCTTTTTTTAGCGCTGTATTAAACAACAGAAACTTAACTTCCTCCCCCCTCCTCTCTACGGTCTTTCCGTTAAACAGTGGACTGTTTGGTTCTGTGCAGGTTTTAAACCAGAAACTCTCTGAACTTCTGTACTGTTTCCTCCTCAACAACCTTCTTTATCTCACTGCATTCATTCTTTGTTCATTTGACAGGTGTGCACTTGTATATAGTCTGCAAAACGAAACAAAAAATAGGTGTGTTGTTGTAGTCGCTGTGAATCTGAAGAGCGCCCCCTGCTGTTTCACTTGTGTCCCAGCAGAGGTGGATTCTCCTCCATTCACTAGACTGTACTGTGTGTAAATACATCAAATAAAAGTCTCACAGATTGACCTGGTTCTGGAGCAGGCTCATGTCGACCTCCTGTTAGAACCCACTCAGTGATTCTGTTGGTTTGGTTTTGGTTCTACATCTTTACAGTACATTCGGTGGGTTTTCAACACATCCTGTTTCCATCGTCTTACCCTGAAAGTTTCAGTCAGATGGCATCATGGGAAAATAAAACACAGGATGTATGACGAGTATTATGCATGATATTTAATAAATATTAAATTGTATTTCCATGTCGATAATTTATTTTTTTGGATTAGTTAAAAAAAAATAATACAGGTGAGAAACAGTGACATCTACCTGCTGATATTGGTCTGTCACTTCCGGTAATATAACAGGAAAAAAGATTTATTTGTCAAATTTGGGAATGTTGAGTCATCTCAATTAATCGAGATTAATCAACAGCTAACTTGTGCACCTACCGTTGATGTTCCTTCTTGCGGAAGCAAATTGCATTCACTGGATAACACCTTATCTCATAATTACGACACCAGGATCTTGTGCGTTCTTATTGTGAAAATTGAAATCTGTTTTTGTTTACGCACATTTGTGTGTGTGTGTGTTTGGGGACCGTTGACAAATGACAAAACCTTGAGGATATTTAACAATACTTCAATAGTTTTAAACACAGCGAAATAATAGCCTAATTGAAATGTCTGTCAAAGTCTCTGTTTGTTTTACAGCTGAGTATTTTCAACAGGAGAAAGTATCAAATATAACAGTCACAGAAGTTCAGGTTGTTACACAGATGGATGATTAGAGGCAGATGTTTGACCTGGTTCATTACTGCTGTCTATTTATGGGACAATGATGACATTGTGACCAGAGTCAACTTTTCCTCTCTGTTTTAGTCATGACACATTATTTATGTATCTGTTCAGTTCAGGCTGATAAACAAATGTCTGATCAGCCCAGTTCTTGTTCACTGTTCTCTTCAAGTCAATTATCAGTAAACCCCTCACTACACAAATCTCATTTTCAGTTTTTACACTTTTACACAGAACTGAAAAAATGGAAACAGTCAGTATTATGTTGATTGATGTCTGTTGAAGTATGATTACTTTAATAGTACAACATCATACATGTTCTTATGCATCAGGCAGTTCAGTAGTTAACATTAAACAGGTAAATATCCTGTGATGTTTTTCTGTTCTGTTGTTTTCAGTCAGTGTCTTGCTAGCCTCTAGCCTCTACAAAAACACTGATTATGGCAGATGGAAGACTTATGAGTTTAATGGGTTATTGGAGAAAATACTGTCATCAGCATAGCAGGCAGCTTTTTCTTCTATTGTAGACAATAGTTTTTAATAAATAGGATGGAACAAAAAAAAAAACATTTTTTTTGTCAAAATTGTAACAAAGTCAGTTTGTAAATGTTCCTGTAGAGGCTAAAATCACAACGTGGTTGTTGGTAACCTCTGTTCTAAAGGTTAAACCTCCCTCATTTGCTACTCCAATAGAAGGGAAATATGTGTAAAACTTGTTCTTCTCTACTGTGTACTGGTTATAATACTGTGTGTTAAACAAGTGCTCACACGTGTGTTTGCAGGTTCTAGGGAGTGTTGCATACAAAAGTACCTCATCATACGTAAGTTTTCCTATAACACACTTTGTTATTCATTAATTCCATTGACAATTTAGTGGCTGTTTTTGATTCTCAGTAACACGGGACAAAGTGTGACACGTACTGTTGTTTCTAAATGTAGCAGGTTCAGCTTTTCAAGAGACGGTTGGCAACCTTGATCATGCGGCAGTAATCGTAGTAATCGCAAAGTGGCAAATATTCTCCGGGAACAGTTTTTCTGACGATAAATCGCACACAATGCGATTTCCCTTCAGCTTAAAAACCTAACTGTATTCCACTGCGTGTGTGTTCACTGTCACATGCTGCCTCTTTCTGTTGCAGTTTCTCTTCAGATCATCAATAATTCTTCACTGGTGACTTGTTGTTTGCTCATGGTGTAACATGTGACAACAGTCAGTTCTGTTTAATGCCTGTCCTCTCACTGGTGTGGCTCCATCTGCTGGTGAGAAAAGAAAGTACGGAAAAGACCAAAACTGCATTTTTATTTTTCATTGTAAACACACATCTCCAAACGTGTCTTCTGCATTTAAATGTATTTGTGTATTAGAAACAGTGGGGTGCAATTAACAGTCCCCGCCATGGACTGGGATTCAAACAGGCAACCCTTTGATTACAACCCCAAAGTCTTTATACTCTGGGCCACACACGGGGCAAATGTGTGTGTGATGTGCTTGATGGTAAAGGGTCTGAAACGCTTTTTAACAATCATTTGTCACTTTATTGCACCTGATTTTCAATCCTTATACTGTACATATGAGTAGAGGGAAACATACGTATGGTGTTTTGTACCGGCCTAGTGGTGAGATGACGAAACTGCACGAAGAAAAGATTTCTTCCCCCGTGTTCTATCAGATTTTTATTCCCCGTCAATTTGTATGACTTGACCACTGCGCGTGCGTACAAGAAAACCCAGTGTAGTACGCAATCGCCCATCCCAACCCTTAAGATCAGTATACCCCTAAAAGAAAGTAAGTATTTTCATAAATAGGGTTAACGTTCATTTATTTTTTGACTGTTACTACAGCAAATGTCGTTTA